AAAGATCGATCCAAAAATATGAGGGCCACACCTACTCCTATACAGCCCAGAAATGACTTATGTTACAGTGTTAATATCCTGTTCATGGAGCATGGCGCAGTCGCGTACACCCGACTGCAGCCTTCTCACTTGTGTTGTATTTGCTGTTGTTGCTGTTACTATGGCTGTCGCTGTTGCTGCTGTCAATACCGCCAATGATCCTGTTGACGTTGTTACTTTTGTGATGTGCTCAAGGTTTTTGTTGTAGCTGTTGCTGTTATTGTTGGCGCTGCTGATGTTGTTATTTTACTTTAGTGCAAGCGCCACTGACATTGATGATGATTATTGGGAGTAAATAGAATTGAATATGCGCCAGCCAGCAGCAAATGCTCGTTTTCGGCTCAGGACACGTGTGCTTCTGCTATCTCGTACTCGCTAAGACACACCTTATGTGCGCTTCTTTTCATACGATTGTGTGTAAGTTTGCATAATGCGCGCAAATAAATTGCAAAATCAATTGAACGGCAAAGTAGTTTTCCCAACAACTCACTGCTCTGGAGTGAAAGTCAGGCAGTCCCTCCCTTCAGTTACGGCCACAGTCTTAGCCACTGCCACACCTTCAACTTGCAGTTGACGTCTGCAGCCATTGCAATGGTAGCAATGCAATGTAATTAAAAAGTACTGACTGCTACAATTGCAAAATAACTAAAAGTTAGCTTCGGCACGCTGGCATCTCGATCGCAATGGTTTCGAATAACTGAAAACCGAATATTGTGTTTGAATCCTTGCCTCACTTTGCAGTAGCAGTCCATAGTAGCCTGTGCATCTCGGAGATGCAACCCGGAGAAAGCTTGCTATAGAAGCATATATGGTATAATACCCTTTGCCCTTTTTCAATGGGTTCTCGGTATGATTAAAAAAAGAGCATCGAATTTATCAACTGATATTCAACATAAGTACGAACAAATTTGATTGATTTTGAAAATACGTGCATATTCTTGTTCATTACCTTATGCACACTTACTTATGGGATAAGACCGGCTTTATTAAACAAAATGCTGCTATATTTTTATTCAATGCAATAAACATTAATAATAAAAAGAAGTATTCCTTCTTTGTGGTTTAAACTTGTTTCCGCCGAGCAAACTACCCACTCTGCCGTTACTGCCACACCAACATTAAAGGCAAGAAAACTAACGCGCATTCTTACAGTTGTGTTTCTTTCTCCTTATTTCTATCACAATGTGGTCAATGGCCAAGGCATAAAGAAAATCTGCCTTAAGCAATAAATGTTTCATGGCATGAATAAAATATGCATTCAGTAGCAACAGTTTCATGTCCTGCTGCAGCGTTGTCTGATCATGTAGTCATCATGTAGTTATTGAAGACTTTATCATATTTAAATTCCGATTACATGCAGTTTCACATCAAAAAAGGTATAGCTATAAATGCCTCCTTTGAGAAGTACATGAAGCAAAGATCTGCTGGGTGGGAAGCTTTAATAATCAGAGAAACGCGGTTGCATGTGCCGCAACTACCTTAACAAACACAACAATACCAATTGCGCGCGCACTTATAAAGACACATATGTGCATAGAATCACACACACACACACACACACATGTAGCGCACTCGTAAATGAAAATCTTTTTGCAGAATTAATTAAGTAAACAATAAGAAAATTGTGAAAATTGCTTTGAATGCGTCCCCAAGCGAACGAACACACACGTAGAAACACAGAAAGGCATAAACAACTTATCCCCACATGCGGTACAAGCACACACACACACACACACACACACACACACACACACGCCTCCCGCACACATCAGAAGTTATTGTGCACAGCTGTTGTTGTTGCCTTTACTTATTATGATTATCATTCTACTTAATAGACAAAAACGATGGGTGCTGTGGCCGAAGTACAGCTAAAGCCGGGTGTAAAGCTGGTTACCACAGCGTACAATACCAAAGGGAGACAACGTTCATTGTGCATTAAAAATTACACCATATTTTGCGTTAATGATAAGCCACGGTAAATGGGGCACGTCGAAATATGTCTTCCCAAAAATGCGGGTCAACTAAAGAGCGATCTATCCAACCTTACCAACAACTTATTTTCATAATGCTTAGCAATTATTTCATAGTAATAATATCTAATAGCTATGTTCAATAATAACTGAAATCAAGAGTGCTTAAGTCGAGAGTGCCCCATTAAGGTATACCCCCAACTAGATGAAGTTACCGCCTAGGACTTCAACTTAATTTTTTTTTTTTTTTATTTAATCAATGCGTTAAATACCTAATAAATGCGTATTAGTAATAATGAGTACGAGGCTCTAGTCGGGCGCTCCCGACTAGTGGATACCCTGAACCCTCTTATTCCGTTTGTAGTAATAAAGATAAATTTAAAAAAAAAAAGGTACCACACAGCAACTAAGCGCATTGCCTGCTGCCGCCTTTACTCAACAGCCACAGTAGCCAGGAAAATATAAAGTTAATCCATCGGTAGAGTTTGAACTCGCTACACGCCGCTGTACTTGCCGCCGCCTCTTCTTAACAGCCACACCAAGAACTGAGTCTTTATAAAAAAAAAAACGAATTAAAATAGCAGCACAGAAAATATAGAATCGGAAATACAATGCTGTTGAAAGAATTCACAGAAGACGCGCATGAATGTGTGTATGTACACGTATACAGAAATTCAAGCAATTTGCGCTTGCAACCCCAAACTCGAGGCCAGGAACATGTTTAAGCATGTTTTATTTAATAACTTCTGTGTTTCTTAACCAATCTTGATGAAATTTTCTGCATCTAATTGTACTATAGAATATTCGAGCATTATCGAAAAATCAATTTCATTCAAATTGCGTCTTATATTGGTGGGCAGCATAAATTGACTTATAAGCTTGATTTATATATCAATTTGGCGACTCTAGCTCTCATAATTTACAAAAATTGCTCAAAAAACAGGATATCGATATCGGGTTTTATCAATTGCTTGAAAACGGAGTAAGTTATCGATTTCATGATATCTTGACCAAATTCGGAATTTATTAGTTTCACTTATTTTTCCCTACACATATTTAAGCATAATGTATACTATATGCGAGTTTAGCTTGCAATTTCAATATGTGTCAGTTGATCTGGACGACGCGGAGTATTTCTTAATATATATGTATGCATAATATCTAAAATATCGAAAATGGGGCCGTTGCTTCTGTTTTATTAACACTTTTTTAATTGAAAAATGTATAGTGCTGCTCGGTGGGTGTGCCCGGGGGGATGCGTGGTGAATCTTTTACCGGTTTTACCTAAACACACGTAGACAAAGTCGCTACGAAAATGCTTGTATGTAATAGGCTGAAAGAGGAAGGGAAAAAAGTTATATTTGGTTAAAATTCTTAATTGTCTTATAGGCCTGTCATCATTAGCATGAGTTGCGCTTTACCTACGCTTTCGTAGCCTACCATAATATGTTTATATTAAGCTAGAAAGCTTTACACTTGGAGGGAATGACAGAATGCTGCAAAGAGAGAAACCTATTTGTTGTGCTTTAAAATATAAATCCAAACATCTTAAGGTCCGGACGCCGTCGCTCTTTCCAGACATATTTTCGTGACTAGCTCAATTAAGCGAATCTGTTAAGTTTATGTTAATTAACAGCGGAATTTAAAACCTCACTACATTACTAACACATCAAACCTATATATTTTTAGATTATCAAAAACGAACAATAATAGTTTATGTACGGTGCATTTTCAAACAAAACTCATTTGTCAAACAACACTATTTGTAGACATATAATAAAGAAGCTCGAGGTAACCACAATTTGTAGAAAACAGTAATGTGTCGGTACGATCCATTTAACAAAGGTGTTCGATAAAACATTACAGAATCATAGGGTGTCCCGCAAAGCAATGTGCATGGCCCTGTGCTGTAAACACTGTATACGGACGAGCTCGCCACTCAAGGACACAACAACCCAACCGTCAGCCCTGCGAGACTGCTGTTGGCAACGTTCGCGGATAATACGGTCGTTCTGGCCTCGCACGAGTCCCTACAGGCGGCAACAAACGCTGTGCAGGACTGGAATTGTGGACAGCGAACTGGAACGTCGCTATAAGCTGCACCAAGTACGCTTGCGTCATCTTCACAGTACGTCCAAACAATTGACAGCAGCTTCGGTTTGTTGTTGGAACTATCGAGCTCACCAGCTCATTCTGCTATCTTGGCATCCACCTGGATCAAGAGGCATGACCGGCATGGCTGCAAATGCCATTTAATCTTACAAATATTGTTACTATACTTTATATCGCAGTATACTATACTTCATATCCCAGTACTTGCCATTAATTGATCAAAATCAATATCAGAATACTGTTTTTCAGATGATATGCTTTAGGCTTTAAAAACTGAAGTTACTAATTTGGTGTTTTTTAAACAAAGGCAAAATCAATTGGAGGTATAGTCGTTAGCTTTAGTATTAACATTTATTTTAAATTCCTTAAGATTTCATGAAGATCGTAGACAGTAGATACCGAAAGAATTTCCCATTATTTGTGGCTAAAGGAAGAAACAGGGCAGCCTACGCGTAGGCTAAAAGTGTAAAAGCTTGAGATCAAGTTTCTTCTGATTCTGTTGGAAAACATTTCTTATCATATGTAAAAAGGTTAAGTTGTTGTTCTTATATCTACTTTTTGTTGTTATAATTTAACGTTAGATTTTATGTATTTGTTTTTTAATTGCTTAGAAACTTGTTTAATTTTACGTCATATGAATACACTTTTTCTTTGTGTGCATAGGCAAATAGAAACACTTTAAATTCTCGATTTTATGATCTATGTAGTATGTCAAGTACAATAAATGCAGCTTCATTGTCTCTGAACCATCGATTATATGATGATGTTTACGATCAATTTTTTTTATGTTTGTTCAGCTGACTGTTGTATTCTAATGGCTGACGATTGCCTTGTAAAATCCAAACAGGTCTTAGACCGTCTACCGTCGCAGTCCCAACTCACGAACGCTTTTATGTCAAGATCAGTCAAGTGGCGCAAGTCAGAGAGACCACGACAAAGGCACACACAAAGACACACACGCACACACACACACACACACACACACAGACTAAACATAGCCACTGAAACAAAGAACACCGTTACAAGCTTTACTTTCACTTGTGCAAACACAGAGCAAACTTGCTCCAAGAATAAGAGCTCACGATGCCATGAAGCTCATTTGGCGGCTGCCTTTGCTGTCGCGAGGGTCATCGGCGGCCCTAATAGTGGAGCCGGCTGGAGAATAGAAGCAACGCTTGGACTTCAGTTCCACGCGGCACTGACATCAGTAGCATGTCAGGGGGCAAGCCAAGCGGTCCAATTTACCGAGTCCAATTCGCGTTTTGTGATATCTAGTACGCATTAATTCTCTTTCCCTCTCTCACTCTCTCTCTCTCTCTCTCTCTCTCTCTCTCTCTCTCTCTCTCACTCTCTCTCTCTCTCTCTCTCTCTCTCTCTGTCTCTCATTCTTTCGCGCTCTCTTAATCGATCTCTAGTGGATTGTTTGCCACAGTTCCGCGGACTCGCCCATCAACATACCAAATTCTTTGCCCAGCGTTGATGCATAAATTTGCCAATCCATCGTGTATAAATTTTTACTTTTTTCGGCTATTTAAATTTTATTTTGTTTTATTATTGTTTTTTTCGTGTTGCTACAAAGCGTTTGCATGCCAACGCACGGGATTTGTCGGCACATCACCCCACAACAACGGGAGCAACTACAGAAGCAGCAAAGATGTCATGAATTTGCCTGGGTCTGGGTCTGTTTGCTGCTGCTAAACAGCATCTGCGGGTCCGGGGCCCATTTGCACAAGTGGAACATCTTGCAAAAGAGTTTTCGGTATATGCAGGAGACCATGCTAAGTAACAGCTTAGATCGCGCTCATCTGAACTATGGAATTGTGTTTGAGTGCCGCACTATGTAAGTGTTCCCTTCAAAGTAAGACTCAAGATCATAGATTCTCTCTCCTTGCGCGCTGTAGCTCCGACATGGATTTGGGCGACGAGGTGCACTTTCATTTACAGCTCGGCGACTTGAGCGGTTTCCGTCGTTTGGATGCAAAAAAGAAGTTGGCGTTGTTTTTGCATGGCTGGAACGATCAGGGCAGCAAGGACTGGGTTCAAGAACTATTATTGAGTAAGTCGAACAAAATGTAAACTTCAGACCCTAATTAAAAGCTGACTTGGTCTAGGTGTAAATGTTTAATTATTTCGAGCATGCAGATCTGAGCCAGAAAGGTGCAACTTCGCAAAAAAATTTTCAAGACCAAGTGAAAGTGAACAAAATCAGTTTTTGTTCACATTTTGTCTGCGTTCATTCTTATTTTCTGAACCAATTGAATGTGGACAAGCCGATCTCAAAACCTCCTCATATTTCCGCTGAGTTCTGAGTTGAACTACATTACTTGACCTGTTTCACAGCAATCGATTGAAATCGATATCTGAATCCTGTTTTCTGAGTAATTTTGGTAAATAATAAGAGCTATTGTCATCAGACTTGACAGACTAGAATAGTATATATATATATATATATAAAGTATATATTTATCTATCTATCATTTTATAACTATCACCACCTCCCCGCTACTACCTCAAGTGAAAACACCAATTTTTGCTGTCCACCAACAAGTCAATAGTACAAGAAGATGTATTGTTAAAAATTTCATTAAGATCTGTTTAGACTCTCACGCAAGCGGAAATTCCAATAATTTCTGTATACACACATTCATGCACGTTTTCTATGAATTCTATCAGCAGCATTGCAATAACGACTGTATTGTTTTCTATTTTAATTCGTTTTTCTCTCTTACAAACATTTGGGTGCCATATTGGTTCCCTGAAATGTTGATAAAGATAAAAAAAGCAAATCACGAAAACATCTGTTTGATAAGGTATTCTACGACTTATTCCAAAAGAATTTATTAGCAATTTTTTTATCGTAGATAAGTTTAACTAGTAATTTTTATCGGACGTTTTTTTTATCAGCTTGGACCCTCTTTGATGATGGTTACAACGTATGCGTTGTAGATTGGGGCAATCTGTCACAGAATGATTACAAAAGCGCCTCAATGTCTATATTTGATGTTGGTTTGACAGTGGCAGGCATAATCATTGCCCTGGAGGAAATGCGACCGCGTCACTTTAATCGCCGCAACGTCACCCTAGCGGGATACAGTTTAGGCGCTCATGCAGCCGGATATGCGGGCGCCGTGCTGGATGGTCAAGTGGAACAAATTATTGGCCTGGATCCGGCGGGGCCTCTGTTTACTCTGCCGGCTGCTGTTAACCCAAAGTATCGGCTTGACCAAACGGATGCAAAGTTTGTGCAAGTCCTGCATACCTCAGGCGGCACCTTGGGCACCAGTCTTAAGTGTGGGCACGCTGATTTCTATCCGAACGGGGGACGAGCTCCCCAACGCAACTGTTTGATGTTTATGAATCTGCGCGATATGCAAAACACAAGTAAGTTCCGTTAACAGGCGTAAATCGAATAAACGATTAACCTTTGCCTTCTATAGATCCCATTGCCTGCAGTCATTCGGCGGCTGCCATTTTCTTTAGGCAATCAATGGATCCGCAGTACCCCTTCATTGGGTATCAATGCGATAGCTATCGCGAATATCTGACTGGCCGCTGCGATAACAATCGCCGTGCTCTTTTTGGGATTCACTCTCATCGACGGATGCATGGCAGTTTCTTTTTTGACACCACCTCCAGCCACCCCTATGTTCAGCGGCAGCGCTCGAATCGCCTTTGGAATTGGATTTTGGAAAGGTCTCAGAATCGGAATCGCATAAACGCCAGGCACTTAAGTACCGACAATGCCATAGGTGGCGAACTCTTGCGCCAACGACCGTGGACGCGAAGGCGTAATAGGAAAAGCCAACGTTGCCATTGTGAAAGGTAATGAACAATATAAAGGCAGAGTTAGAGAGTAGAGCGGAACTAGTTCCTAGTGTTGTTTCTGTTATACATGCATATGTATGTAAGCACAATATAATATGTACTATATATGATTAAAAAAATAGTCTAAAAATTTGCTACCAACCATGCCCTATTTTCCACTTTCGCTGAACATGTTAGATGACATATGGACAGCCTTTACAGTACAGTTAGAGTTCAAAATTCTGTAAATTCAGCATTTTGTTTTTTTGGCCATGCATATATAGAATACATGCTTAAATTGTCTAGCACACTTTTATCGTTATTTTTGGTGTTGGGTTGAATAGCGTTAAAAAAAACAAAACAAAAGTTACTGATCTAGATTCTGGCTACTATGTTAGTAAAAATAACCGTTCATAATTAAGTGGCTGCACTGTCAAATGGTAAGAGAGGTCCGTCTGACATCTGCATACTGATATAACTACACATGAACATAAAATAATTTAACACTTAATGTGGGCCGGGTTTTAGACCCGGACCCGGACCCGGACCCGGACCCGGACCAGGAGCCAGACTGTTGCCAGGACCAGTAGAAATGCAACTCGCATAACTCATGCGAAGTCGACGGCCGCGCTGGCGACGACGGCGCCATAAATTTCAAAACAGGAAGCACCGAGCAAAAACAACTCCCAACTCAAGTGGAATGTAACAGAGCAACAACAGCAGGAACAAGAAAACGAACAAGAACAAGCAGCAATATAAGCAGAACAGGTCTCATGTAGACGGCAAATATTAACTACCTTTTAGCAAAGGCGTGCCCAATGCGAAGGGCCAGCTGACGTAAAGTTGTAGAAAATTATGTTTTACAATGAGAAAATTGAATTTCAGTTTATTGTTTTCGCTTTTCATTTTGTTTTACGATTAACTGTTAAGTGCAGCCGCCTGCATGTTGCGTACACACAGTGGCTCACAACGACAACGGAGAATGGGGCCAGGCATGGGTCGAACATTGTTGCGCGCCAATGACTTCCTGGCAGTCTGTATATCGGTTCGCTCTTTACGTTGGTGTGGGACTTTTGTTTTTATTCGGACAACCTTTTGTAGGTACATTGTACATGGTAATACCAACTTTTGAAACCCGACAAATTAAATGGATATATTTTAAAGTTACCAGCGCATGCAAGTCTATCTTAAAGGAACAGCTGATTGAGTGTATTTATTGATATATATAAAATGATGGCAAATCACAATATACATTTCATTTCGCAATCGACTTAAAAATCTCGGACATAACGATCCAATCGATGAAGCTAATAATCCGGGCAGCTAAACATATAGACATATAGAATTGTCCGTAGCTAGGCACATGCTCTTTCTTAATAAAATTCCAACTTTTAAACATTTTCGGCCGTGAGATACATTTAATTTTCTTGAAACTCGAAGCGTGTATTTGTATTTTAACTTAATTGAGATTGGTTAACTCATATATTCCCTGTATTAATACTACGTATTTTTAATACAACAAAGCTTTCTCTTAAAGTCAATTTATGGGAAGTCTATTTATTTCTTTATTTTATTTGTTTCCCAAATCCGTTAAAAATGGGTAAAAATGGACATAATGTTTTGCTGCAATGTATGTAACAGGCAAAAGGAAGCATCTCCGACATAAAGGATATGTATTCCTTTTTTTAACATTAGACCTCTAGCCATTTCCGCAGTCGTTCTAGAGCTCGCGTAATAAAATTGTTTCCAAAAATCGATAATTTGACCCAAGCAATCGATAAAGATCGATATTAAAATCCAGTCTTCTAAGTAAATCTGTTAGGTTTTAAGAGCTATGATCACTAAGTGTGATATGTACCTTCTAGAATAGTATTAACACAGCTTTCGCTATAAATCAAATAAATAAAGCAATTCAAGTAAGGGTACAATTTATATGATGTGGCCCTTTTACGTATATATAAATAATCTTTAGCACAATAAGAACTGCTGCGGTTAAGAAGCACACAAGTTATTAAGGTAAACGTGCTGTTATATTAGCGGGCCACGTGCGATAACTTGTGCATTCGAATACAGTTTTTGTTTAATGAATAAAATTTTGGTATTAGTATATTGGCTGTAAGGTATGAGGCGATGGAAAGTAGTTCGATTGATAAAAGTTAATAGCTCGACGCCCGTTAAGGGAACTAACTTTTACTTTTTATTGGTGCTAAGGGAAAGGTGCGCGTAGCGTGATCTGAATTTGGCATTGTTAGAAGATTTACCACTACTAATATTGAATTCAGCAATAAAAATGCGTTTGCATATTAAATATGTGCCCTAATGCCTATCACTAAAACAAACGAATGAATGCATAAATCGTGACAAAACCATAAGTTTTCAAATCAAAATAGGGCATGCTAAACGGTCTACAAACACAGATGTTATTGGCAGTTCTATTTGTTTAAATTAGAACTTAAATTAATATATATTATTATATATTATGGGACTTGGGTAAAATCGACAAAGCGCCTGCGGCAATACGTTTGAGCTACCAGAGCAGTTTTTAAGGACAGGTAAGAGTTCTCTAGTCAAACGTGCCTGAAGGAATGCCTTCAATATTTGCTTACAAAACCCTGAAGCAGTTCTCATGCGCAAGCTTTTGGCAAACATATTTACTTGGAAAACTATATGTTTGACGAGAAGTTAATCTAACTTTTAAAACTTAAGAGATATCTCGAAAAGCCACGTTTATACCGAATGGAGGCTAGTACGATATCTTGTTTATACGCAACACTTACTAAATTCACTATTCTCTTAAATCTTTGTCGTTTCTCTCTTGTCGTTCTTTTTCCTTGTTATCACCAAAGCATGTTATACCCTGAACCCATTGAATACAAGTGAAAAGCGTATAGTCGAATCGATCAAACCATATCCGTCTGTCTGTCCGTCCGCCTGTCAGTATGAATGAATGCAAAGATCTCAGAAGGTTTTAAGAGCTAGAGACTTTATAGTTATAGTTATAGTTATATATATAGTTATAGTTATAGTTATATATATCAAGTATCTTTCACTTTATAGCGATTGCCACCTCATTGTCCAACCCTTATATGTTATCTATATAGATCGATGCTGACCAGAACACACTTAATGAGGTTGAAGTTGCTTTCTTCTGCCTATCAAACAAATTGGCTTCCTTTCAAAGGAAACGATAAAATTATATATTGAAATCGTGTATTTTCCTTTCTGTAAGGAAGGTCCGACTAAGGGATTGGATTTGATGTGACATGAATGTACTTGATCTGTTTATTCTATTGCAAAAATTTTGGTGACCCTAGCTCTTAAGGCCTATGAGATTTGCACAACAATTGACTGTTATCTGAAAAGCAATACTGCCCCAGTATTAATAAAAATAAAAATGCATTTTTGTCGACTTGACTCTATTAATTGTATGCGTATAGCTCGAACGCTAGAGGAATCTAATTTCACATTTGAGCGTACTATGTAGATCGGACTGTAAGCATTAAAGTTATGCAAGAACTACCGCTGAGTGATGGGTTGTGTGTGTAAAAACAGGTGCTATTTACGTTGCAATGATCCAATACATTATTCTAGCGTCAGACCCTTGGCAGTATGTATTCGGTGCACCTGGCGACGTCCTAACGTGATCCTGCGAAGTTAAGTGTTTCTTTAGCTTAATAACAGAAATATTTTAGTTGCTGGTTGCTGCCTGGACGATACACGCTTACACAAAAACACATTTAAATGCTTCCTGCGATGTGTTAAAGCTGTACAAGGACGGGCTTTTGGCTTCTGCCATCAGTTTGTAAAAAAACGTCCTCCTCTGCCTGTAAATAACTCGCAGCTGGTGTCGGCATCATGGTCGTCGTTCGCTCTGGAACGCCCTCTATGCCGACGCTCGGAAAGACGGAAAAGTTGCAGGTCGTGCAGCCAGAGGCAACGTTTTCTTTTGATTACACGCCGTGGGGTCCTTCCATTGTTCTGCTGCCCTACCCACACTCCTCTCGAACAGTCTTGCCCACAATGTAGGTGTAAATGCAGGTGAGCATGAAGGATGAAATATTAACGCGTCGCCTTCCAAGTCCCTGGACAGCGTTCGGCGACCAGCGTCCTGCGTCTTGCACTCAATTTCAAAATGCAATTTTTACTAAGAGCGTACATCCGCCAAGCAACGAACTGAACAAGTCAGCAAGCCAGTCCCAAGCGAGGTGCAGCAAAAACCATAGATAAAAGTGCATAAGCAAGTAAGTACGTTCGACTAAAAAATACACTCTACCAAGTTTCGCAACATACATTCGTAGCTATTTATAACCATGTTCGTCCTAAGCTTTTAATAGAGCACAGCTTAATCGGTAAACAAAAATACAAACCTAAAAAAGAACTAGAAAAAGATTCCTTTTAGGAAGAAAGCAAATGCTAAAACGAGGCTCCGAAAAATTATGCTTACAAGGTGCAGAAATCGAAATCAAAGTTTTTATCAAAAACATTCCATTTTTACACATTTACAACGACAACGACAGAGCGAGCCCATGTGTTTTATATGACTGAACGTTGAGATGATCCTAGCGGAGGACGGAATACAACACTTGTTTCATTTTAGTTTTCAAATTATTCGTAAAATATAATATATAATAATATACAAAAATATGTCAAATAATAAGAGACTAGACACCGTCTGTATGAAATCCTGAATCTCCGAAAATACAACAGCTTTAAATAAATTTTCGTATACCATACTCAGAGGCAACTTAGCATACACATGTGGTAAATATCTCGCCATTTAGATAATATCACTATACTTTAGTTTTAATATCTAAATACCGACTTCGCGAATATATAGTCTATGCAGGCTTAAAATATTTTAGTTTTTGGATTCCTTCCCCAAAAATGTATCAATATAGTAGAGATTTCTTTGCCTCGCGGCTTTACAGATATGCGAGAAGAGGGAAACTCGTAAATACCTTGCTTGATACAAATGAAGCTGCAAATGATTTAGAAGTTGATCGGATAGTAAGCACAGAGCTTGCATACAACAGTTTGCCACACCTGCGAATATAATTAGGAAAAAAACAAATGTATTCATTAAGTTCATATGTAGGACTTTGAAAGTAAATTTAAGATCGATCGGATGAAACTTAAACCTTCCCGCAAAAATCACTTAACAAG